CTATCTCTCATACGCGCTAGCCTAGTTGGCTAACTTTAAGAAAAAATCGTACACTCCTCTTGTTTGCCCTAATGTGTTGTATTCGAGTAGAATTCCGTTGTCTTCTTCGTATTGTGAATCTAAGATCAGACTCCACTGAATTTGCTTGAAGATAAAGTCCAAGTCTGAAGACATCCAAAATATAGGCAAGACTTTTATTCAGTTGGATTTCATATGTGAGCTCAAACTCAAGAAATAATATATAATATTCATTAAAATTTGTTCTCAAAGACGTCGGATGAAATTGGTTCGTTTAAGACAAGAAAGAAGAAATGAAACAAAATATCACTGTCAAGGAAATGTTTTTCTTGCCATAGTGATTGTGTGTAAATTCTCCATATATGGGCTTGGTTGGTGCTTTGCACAACATGTAGTTGAAGACGGTTTAAAACATCAAAAGAAAAGATTCTCCATTCTGAGCAAATCCGTAATGCAGAATCAATACTTCATATTGGTAACAAAAATAATAATAATAAGCAAGCATGCAAGCCATCTAATGGGAAATCACACTCTCGTGTCCCTCATTTACGTGACAAGGATATAAGAGTTTTTCTGATATGGACTACATTAATTGAGATTGTAATTTACCGTTTTACGGGATTAGTCTAATAAAGTAAGATATAAATATTCTAATTATGGAAATCTTGGGTGCTATATTCACGGCCAACAATGGATTGGACCGCCTTTGTTGATGTATTGATTGCCATTGTGCAGTTCATCAAGGAGCTCTTCCTCTTCTTGGACATGAACATGACTGTCACCCTCCCTCTCAGCTCGCCTTGACTGCTCAAGTTTATGACCCCAGAGCTCAAATCGCTCCCGAGATTCGATTAACATCGCTAGGTAGATTGGCAGAGCTCAGAGTCACGTTCACATTGATCTTCTTGGTGAACTTGATGTTGGCCTTGCTCTTCGGGAGGATCGCTTGTCCCACCTGAACACCTCCAAGGTGAAAGCAACGGTGGAGGCGTCATACTTGAAGGGACCCTAGTTGGTGTTCTTGACCTGGATCAGAGCGATATAACTCATGTCGAACGACGGTGAGGCCTGAGTCCCGAAGGTTAGGGTCTGGACGCTGAACTCGGCAACCCTGAACTTGGGGGACTTGAACTTCATGATGACCAGCACAAAAAACAGAGCTTGGACAACTTGAAAGATGACGAAGGCGATGATGTTGATGGTCCACTTCATCTGCTTCTTGCGCTTGGGCTCCTCGTCCTCCATGGCTGGAAGCGATTCTTGATCACTCTGGTGATAGTCGTTCGATTCTGGTGGGTGGTACTGGTTCTGGTTTTTCTCTGCCATTGCTGCTACTCTCTGTTGGAGATACATAATTGATATCATCTAATTGATTGCCACTTATTGATTCATTGATGAGAAATTAGAATATTGTATATTAGAGAAGCACTATTTTCCTTTTTCTTAATATTTCTTACTTGGATTAGATAGAGTCTATGTATTATAAATAGGATTGTACTCATACAGTTTCGTTATGAGAAAGCAATATACAATTCTGAATCCTATTATCAACCTAGCTTTCCATCACCTCATACTCTGACATGGTATTAGAGATTCTTTTCTCAATCTAGCTTCTGCACACCAACCTTTAACCTGCAGAGAAAACATGAATACCGCATTGAAATTACTGAAGTACTTGAAAGGATGTCCGAGATTAGGAATACAATTGTCTCGCGATAGCAACATGGATATGATGGCATATTAAGACATAGATTATGCTATTTGTCCTATGAGTAGAAAATCGGTTATAGGATTCTGCATCAAATTGGGAGACTCACTACTTTCATGAAAAACGAAGAAACAATCAGCTGTTTCATTATCATTCGCTAAAACAGAATATCAGGCAATGGCAAAGACCGAGATCTCGTGTATGGGTAAGAGAACCAACTATCTTATTTTGTGACAATGATGCTGTGCTCAAACTTGTAGTGAATTCACTTTTTTCATGAAAGAACGAAGCATATAGAAGTTAATTGTCATTTCATCAAAGACAAGATCCGGAATGGAGTGATCAAGTTGAGAGAAATAGAACAACAGAGCAACCTACAGACATCTTCACCAAACATTTATGTCAGAGGCAACATACGTTTCTACTTAGCAAGCAAGGCGTCTTTGGAGTGTATAGACCGCCAGCTTGAGAGGGAGTGTTGGAGATACGTAATTGTTATTGTATACTTGATACGGTTTCCACTGATTGATTCATTGATGGGAAATTAGAATATCGTATATTAGAGAATCATTCTTTTCCTTTTTCTGAATATTTCTTACTTGGATTAGATAGACTCTTGTATTATAAATAGGATTGTACTCATACAATTTCATTATGAAAAAGCAATATACAATTATGATTCCTATTTTTAACCTAGCTTTCCATCACCTCATATTCTAACATGGTATCAGAGCTCTTTTTCTCAATCTAGCTTCTACATGCCAACCTTTAACCTACAAAGAAAACATGAATGCCGCATTGAAAGTAGTGAAGTACTTGAAAGGATGTCCGGGATTATGAATATTACTATCTTGGGATAGCAACATGGAAATGACGGCATATTGCGACACAGGTTACGCTATTTGTTCTATGAGTAGAAAATCAGTTACAAGATCTTGTGTCAAATTGGGAGACTCACTACTTTCGTGGAAAACGAAGAAACAATTAACAGTTTCATTATCATTCGCTGAAGCAGAATATCGGCCAATGACAAAGACTAGCTGTGAAATAGTCTGCATAAGAGGTTTGCTTCGAGATCTCGGTGTATGGGTAAGAGAACCAACTATTTTATTTTGCAATAATGATGCTACGCTCAAACTTGCAGTGAATTCAATTTTTCATGAAAGAATAAAGCATATAGAAGTTGATTGTCATTTGATCAGAGACAAGATTCAGGATGGAGTGATCAAGATGAGAGGAATATGAACAACAGAGCAACCTACAAATATCTTCACCAGACCTTTATGTCAGAGGCGACATACGTATCTACTAAGTAAGTTAGGCATCTTTGATGTATGTAGACCACCAGCTTGAGGGGGAGTGTTGGAGATACGTAATTAATATTGTCTAATTGATACGAGCTTAGGGGTAGTTTGAAGATACGTAATTGATATCGTCTAATTGATACGGTTGCCACCAATTGATTCATTGATAGGAAATTATAATATTGTATATTAGAGAATCATTCTTTTCCTTTTTCTGAATATTTCTTACTTGGATTAGATAGACTCTATGAATTATAAATAGGATTGTACTCGTACAGTTTTATTATGACAAAGCAATACACAATTTTGATTCATATTCTCAACCAAGCTTTCCATCACCTCATACTCTGACACACTCTTCGTGAACTTGTTTTTGATGTTTCGGTTTGTTTCCTCAGTGAGTAATTTGCCAAGAGGGGTGGCTCAAACGTTTACATAGACGATTCTTGGTGCTGGAGACGTGATATGAGACTGCTTCCCTGAAAATGAAGTGGGAACTCAGCCGCCAAGCGCGTCCCGCGTTCGAATCATCTCTTCTAAGGGACGCCAGTTTAGTGGGAACATCTCTCAAATACAAGCAAGAGAGATAACTCTCCTTTCTTGATAGGAGAATGCAAAGACTTGACAATACGAAGCTTCGGTGACAATGAGTTGTCTCCCCAATTCTTTTACGGCCGGACGCGTTCAACCACGGTGTTAGCCCAAGCTCGAGGCACAACCCGATAAAAGCAATGTCTTGAAAACCGCACCGGAGAACGTACCGGATTACTCGTCAACATGTGCGTGGTGGAATCGGCCCGTTTATGTTTGAGAATCATGTATCGTTGTAAACGACATGGTAACATATGTGATGCACAGCTGAGATGGCGAGGTTGCTGTCCTCTCACTAAGAAGTCGCGAGTTTGACTTTCTTAAAACGCCCCCCTAAGAAAAAAGGCAAACGCCTTTTCAAGGAAAAAAAGAGCAAGTTAAATGGATTAAACACACGCAACTTAATATGTTTAATATATAAAATGGTCCACACCCGGTTCAATCCGGCACGGATTGGTCCGTTGACCTGTTGAATTGGGTTAGGTCCTGTTTTTGAGCGATTTAATGTGTTTGTGGTATGATAGTATGAACCGTAGTGGAGGACCTGCCGGTACCCGGTCGTCAACCATGCCGGCTCTGCTACCCCATGATGAAGCCACCGCCGGTCACATAACTCTCTCCTTTTTCTCTCCTCTTCTCTTTTGCAAATATAGTCCAAATCAAATCATGCGGTAGCAAAGTACAATCATAAACGTAACGATTATTGCATTTATCAAATCTAAAAAATCTTGTTTCTTTTTTTAACATGCCGTGAAAGCTTGGACATGTAAAAGAAAATGCACTAATAACAACCGTAAAAAGATTTAGGAGTTAACAACAAAAAATTAATGTAAAAAGTCTGGGTTTTTGGTGTCACAAAAGTAAATGTCTCACATATGGCAAAGTTTGGGGTTTTTGTGTTTTCCCAAAAGAAAATGCACTAATAACAACCGTAAAAAGATTTAGGAGTTAACAACAAAAAATTAATGTAAAAAGTCTGAGCGTTTGTAACTTGGTATGCTTTTCCTTGTAAGTACCATAATTTATGGCAAAAGCATGTTTTGTGACCTAGTCATCTACTTAGGTTTGCTGAGTAAGAATATAATTTTCGTCAAGGATAGTCTGAACGTAGGCACAACTTCTTATAAATATAGGCATGGAAATATTGACTCTTCTCACCGGCCCACGTCCACTTGCGAAATTGTTGCTTTAAGTCCATTCTCGTGAGAGTCATCATCACCCAACTTCTCCATTCATTCAAAGCAATTGACACACCGCAAATTAAGATCCATAATTTTCGACATGAGACGCAATTGAGGAAGTTTTGGATAAATCTAATCACGTACGCATCATGAATTTCGAAGCAATTCATTCATATGTAAATATAGTAAATCGTGTGATTTGTAGAATCGCTCTTTAATATAAAGAAAAAATCACAATGATAAGAAGCAATGTGAAAAACGAATAAACAAACAAGCGTACCACCCAAAAGTATAAAATCAAAAAGAAAAAAAAAAGGAAAGAAGCACGGTCCATCTAACGTGGAATCACACTCGCATCTCTCATTTACACGACAAGGTTTGGACCGCCTTTGTCGAGGTACTGATCACCATGGTGCAATTCATTTGTGAGATCTTGGTCTTCTTGAACATGAACATGACTGTGACCTTTCCTTTAAGCTCGCCCTGACTGTTCAATGTTATATTTCCCGCGTTCAATTCGTTCCCCAGAGCCGATGTCAGGGGCAAACCAGCAGAGCTCACGGCCACGTTCACATCGATCTTCTTGGTGGACTTGAAGTTGGCTTTGCCCTTGGGAATGATCCCTTGTCCCACCTCGACACCCCCGTAGGTGAAGTTCACGGTGGAGGCGCCGTACTTGAAGGGACCCCAGTTGGTGTTCTTGATCCGGATCGGGGCGTCGAAGGACATGTTGAACGAGGGCGAGGCCTGAGTCCCGACGTTCAGGTTCGGGACTTCGAACTCGGTGACCCGGAACTTGGGGGACTTGAATTTCATGATGACCAGCACAAAAAACAGACCTTGGACGACCTGGAAGATGACGAAGGCGATGATGCCGATGGTCCACTTCATCTTCTTCTTGCGCTTGGCCTCCTCCTCCTCCATGGTCAGCAGTGACTCCTCGTCGGTACGGTGGTGGCCGTTCGACAATTCTCGGGGCTGGGACTGGTTCTCGTTCTTCTCTGCCATCATTTGCTAATCTTTGGTAGCAAAACCACCCTTTTCTTCTCTCTTTTGTGTTTGAGATTTCGAGTTTCTTTTCTCTCTGAACAAGTTGGATGCGAGAGAAGCTGCGAGTGATGGAAATGAGAGGGTGCTGCGAAGGTTTATATACAGTATGCTAAGTCCTGCAATGGAGTATTGTCAAAGGAGCTACAGTGGAGATGAGCCTACTTTGGTTGACGGCGATGTTTAAGATGCCAAAGCGCGTCCCGTGTTGCCCCTTGAAAATTACATGGGCTTCTAGAGCAAACCTTTCCGGACGGAATTTCTGCGATACGCAAGAGATATCTTGGTTTATTATATATTCCGATAGAAGCTTCCATTACTGATCTTTTCCCCCATGTAAATACTTCCCAATTAGGGGTATAATCGGGTCCGAGCCGTGCCGATACAGAGCGCAGCTCGAGCTCGACTTGCCTCACCTGCTTGATGCTCGAAAGACTCGAGCGCGGCTCGACTCGACAACGATCGATTGATGAAGGAACTTGAGCACGATCTTGATCTTGAAATTGCCCAACTAATATGGGTGTATCGTGTAACTTTAGGAATACTATGTCTAAATAAATAGTTTTCAACGTGAAAGTAAAAGCAAGCATGATTTTACTCGCGAACCCACGGGCTAAATATTGACAAGCTCGAGCTAGATAAGATACTCGAATAACTCGGGCTCGGCTCAAAATTTGACGAGTTGATCGCAAAAAAAAAATCATCGAAATGTGATCCAGCAAAGCTGTTTGTGAGTCGCTAAGGGCCGGGTTGATTGGCAAAGCTCAAACTGCAAGCTTTTTCTTTGTATGGGCCTTGGGCCTTTCTATTTAAGAGATTTTTGTTAAATGGACAATTAAAATGAGTAATTATACAGTAAATACCAGAACTTTTGCTTGTTTCAAATTCGAGAATATAATATTGTACCTAAACTTTTCAAATTTAGCTCAAAATGAGGCCTTCATTAAATATGTAGTCATTTTATGTGATTTTACAGATGTGACTCGCTTATTCGGAAAAGTTAAGCACGACCGGTAAAGTAGCTCTCGACTCAACAAAAGTTGTGCGATCTCCATTTAGGAGTCTAGTGATGAGGAGAGAGAGAGAGTGTGTGCACGCGCGGGCCAACTTGGATGATTTTAGCCGTCCAATATTTTTATGTCGGCATGGTGTCATTTCAAGGGGTTACACAGCCTGCACTAAACGATAATATAGATAAAATTATGGTTATTTGACAATGTTAGTATCCACGTTGGCATTTTCCGTCCGTCATTTCAACGGATGTCTCATATTGTTTCACATTTGAAAAAATGATGTACTTGATTGTAAAAAGGGCAAAAGTATATGATGTCATCATCCCATACTAAAAATACTACGACCAATCATAGCGAATTCTATTTGTAGGCAGTGTCTCATTTTTCCCTCTTTCAAATAATCTTTTGAAATTGTATCTCTAACTGACATTCAATTACATGAGCACTCTCATTCTCTTTCTAAAACTTTGTTTTCCTCCCAATCACATTTGCCTAACTTTAATTTTTGCTCTCGCGTTTATACTTCGAGATTTCTCCTCGGGTGGAAAATGAACAATATACCGGTACAACTCACGACGGATCACAGTTACAAGGCGGCCCTGCCCAAAGCAAGTGAGACATCTACATCGACCAACGCAATGTTAGTATGGAGGCACTAGAGGGGCACCACGAAAATTGTTAGAACTGAAGAGCGTCAAAAGAAGGCATTTAAGCACAAATTGACTGTGTGTATCGTGGGGTCTTTAATTAACCATGATTTATGATTTTGGCTTGTGCTCAAGTTTCCCTTCATTGCTAAGCTCATGTGCATAGACTCCTTTACTAGCTAGAGATCTTCATTTTCGATCTTGAAAACCTAAGGCCTAAGGGGCTCTATTTGAGGGAGGATGTTGACTTCACGTGTATCAATCCCGTGCACCTACGGTTGCTCTACATCGAAGAAAATAAGCGCTTGGTTTATTTGAGGTGGGATGACTTTTGGAGTGGAGCATGACCACCTCCGCCCGCCTCGGTGGACTTGACTTGGCCTTTGCTTTTGATATGAAACAAGAGTCCCAAGAACGGCATCGACGCAAATCACAATCGCACATATTTCCCTTACCTACGTGTGCCCCGTAGGTCTGTTTCTCTTGGTGTCGTGTCATTCATTTGTGCTCATCATTTCAAGATTTCAGAACGAATGAACATGGGACGAACATGTGGGTAATACGAAAAAACGATTTGGATGGTACGTAGATTCAACAAAAAATAGAATACATCATCACTTAGCCAAAAGGGTTAAGAAACCCCAGAAAAATAGAGTATATGTATATGATTCTGTAGCATGCGGAACCATATGATAAGCAAAGCATACAAGCGCTCTAGACCGAGAACCACCCTTCTCGACTCTCTACGGCCTCAGCTGCATTGCACGGATGTGACCGCCTTTGCCGAGGTACTGATCACCATGGTGCAATTCATTTGTGAGATCTTGGTCTTCTTGAACATGAACATGACTGTGACCTTTCCTTTAAGCTCGCCCTGACTGTTCAATGTTATATTTCCCGCTTTCAATTCGTCCCCCAGAGCCGATGTCGTGGGCAAACCAGGATAGTTCACGGCCACGCTCACATCGATCTTCTTGGTGGACTTGAAGTTGGCCTTGCCCTTGGGAATGTTCCCTCGTCCCACCTCGACACCCCCGTAGGTGAAGCTCACGTTGGAGGCGCCGTACTTGAAGGGACCCCAGTTGGTGTTCTTGACCCGGATCGGGGCGTAGAAGGACATGTTGAACGAGGGCGAGGCCTGAGTCCCGAAGTTCAGGTCCGGGGCTTCGAACGCGGTGACCCGGAACTTGGGGGACTTGAACTTCATGATGACCAGCACAAAAAACAGACCTTGGACGACCTGGAAGATGACGAAGGCGATGATGCCGATGGTCCACTTCATCTTCTTCTTGCGCCTCGCCTCCTCGATCTCCTCGAGCGACTCCTGGTCGCTCCGGTGGTAGCCGTTCACCTCCGTCGGGTGGTACTGGTTCTGGTTCTTGTCCGCCATGGATGCTCAGTTTCTATGGTGAGGGTTTCTCTTCGATTCTTTCTTTCTTCCTTTCTTTCCCGAGAAAAAACAGAGAGAGAGAGAGAGAATTTCTGGGTTTCTTTCCTGGGAAAGTGGTGGAGATATGGGAGGAACTGCTGATGCTTTGTACTACGGACTGAAGATGGGTGGTTCGTATATATAGTCCTAGTGGGGAACCCGATTGAAGTTTGCGCGTCGGGGCATGGAGTGATTTTTCCTAGGAAAACGATTCGTGCTTAGGACAGCGGTCAGCAGCCTTTGTTACACGGCAAAAACCCCAAATAAACTTTAATAATGAAGGTGGGTGTTTCTTGACTTCTAGATGGTAGTGACTTTTTTGGGTGGGGGAGGAAATTGCATGGCGATGGTGTGCCATCAACGGTCGCCAGCGGAAGCTTCGGTCTTGGTCATACATGGCGCGCTGATTTTTCAAACCGGGGCTCCGGCGGTGAAGGTTTGAACTGATTTAGATATTTGATAGGTTCTGCTCGTTGTTCGGCTATTTTGTGCTTTTGTGTGGGGCTCGTGATTTTTTTTTTTCTTGAGCGGAATTTGAAAATTGGGCAAAAAAATGATATCAATGTGTCCATAGGAAATCAACCATGTATCTGAGTAGGTCCTAAAAAGGCTCCATGCAAATCTGGGGATGTCAAAAAAAGAGGATATTCCATACTTCTTCCTGAAAAAAAAAATAACACGAGAGAAATAAGAGATGTATTGGTAGACCGGCCATCGGATCGTTAAACAAAGCGTTATAGCCAATACAGGCAAAAACGCACGTCCTTAAATTAGGGGGAGATCTCGATACCCTCTTATTTTTTCCTAATTTGAAAATTAGGAAAAAAAAAATGATATCAACTTGTATACAGGGAATCCATCCACCGCGGGCTTGTCCGATTTCAGATCTTACCGTGGTGAAGAAATTATTTATGAGATTTTTATCATGGGTTGATTGACGGGAAAGGATGGGGTTTCTAGAAGCCTAGGGGAAGAATTGTAAAACGAAAGAAAAGGAGGGGCCCGCCGTATTGGGTTCTCTCCCGAAATGGGAAGAGGACTTGGAGAAATTGGTGGAAATGGAGACATTTTCGCACCGACTTTTTTTTGGTCAAATTTACCCCTTATCCTTTTTGTGAAATCCCCTAACATGCCCTCCGTCTTTTCCTTTCATTTTGAATACTATGATGAGAATGGCAAAAGGGTCTTTTAGCTAACATATCTTTTCATTTTCCAATCCCGATTACACGATAAAAAAAATTTGCATACTTTCATCACCCGAAATTTCTACCATTTCCAAACAATGGGATAGTTGTCCGAAAAAGTCCCACATTTACTGCACAGAAGCCAATTCAATCATAAACTTTTTTAATCAAAATTAATCGAAATGACTACATTGACAAATAGTCAAAGGATTTAGGATAAAATTGACAAAATTGAAAAAGCTTATGACTGAATTATCCGTCGTACGATAAGTTTAGGGCTTTTCCGACAGTTTACCATCCAAGCAACACCCCAGAAATCGTTTTCCTCCTTTTTCCTCGTAGCGCTAACTTCGTTTTCTTCCCCCACCCCAATTCTCATCCAATCATAATCAGAGTATAGGATTCCCATGTGGTGGTCCAAATCGGAGTTCTCTTTTCCGAGAACTTGCGTCAATGACGACTTACGCTCTACAAATACTATTTATTAATCGGTCCATGCTTGAGACTTAAAGTATGATCTTTCCCGCTCTCCAACAGCTTATCTTTAAAATGGGTGTCTGCTTACTCTGAACGAATAATAAGCTCGAACTAATAATGGCATTATCTCATTTAGGTAAAATATTCTTTTGTAAGAGAGTATAGACGATTGTGATAGGGACTGGAAATAACACGTATAGAAAATGTATAAATTTTTAAGTATACACACAACTGGAACCCAATGAATAATAATAGGACACAAAGTTCAAAAAAAATTCAGGTAAACAAATAAGCAACCGCACGAAAAATCTAATACAGAGATCACCCTCTCAACTCTCATATGCATTCCAAGGACTTGAGTGCCTTTGCGGACACATCAATGGCCATGGTGCAGTTCATTTGCGAGGTCTTGTTCTTCTTGAACATGAACATGACCGTCACCTTCCCTTTGAGCTCGCCTTGGCTGTTCAACGTTATGACCCCCGAGTTCAACTCGCTCGCGAGAGTCGAATCGCTCGGCAAGTTCGCGGAGTTCAAGATCACGCTGGCGTCGATCTTCTTGGTGGACTTGAAGTTGGCCTTGCTCTTCGGAATATCCACCTGTCCCAGCTGGACGCCTCCATAGAGGAAGTTAACGGTGGTGGCGTCGTACTTGAAGGGGCCCCAGTTTGTGTTCTTGATCCGGATCGGGGCGACAAAGGTCATGTCGAACGAGGGTGAGGCCTGACTCCCGACGTTCAGGGACTGGACGTCGAACTCGCCGACCCTGAACTTGGGGGACTTGAACTTCATGATGACAAGGACAAAGAAGAGGGCCTGGACTACCTGGAAGATGACGAAGGCAGTGATGCCGATCGTCCACTTCATCTTCTTCTTGCGCCTCTCCTCGTCCGTCAGTTGCTGCGACTCTTGATCCTTCCTGTTGAACACCATCTTGATTCTGGTTTGTGGGTGATATTCGGTTTTTGGTTGCGCTCGAAAGCTGGTGTTTCAGCGATGGTTTGCTTGAAGGAAAGGAAGATTTTCTCGGCTGTGTTTCGTGGGTGAAGTGCCCGGATGTTCGAAGGGATTGTTGATGCTTGGTTGGGTGGCTATGTCGGATTATATATAGTGATTTTGGGGTATTACTAACCGTATATTATAAGATATTTAGGGACCTCACGAGGAAATGATCGTAGTAGGACCTGGGCAGCGGTCAGAGAAATTTTGGTACACGGTACCAAAACGAGTTTTTTGGGGTCGTTTTTATTGACTTTCTAGATGCTCGTGACTTTTGGATAGTGAAATTGTTTTCTTATTTACGACAAACGGTCAGCAATAGAAGCTTCGTTTAGTTAAATGTTCATGTTTATCTGGGGGAGGGCTCTGATATAAAAGGTGAACCGTCTACGCAGTTGGCTGGAAGTTGCTTGCTCAATTGCATCACCCCTCCTAATGAAATCATTTGCTAGGAGTGAAAGTTACACCTCAGTTCATATGCTAAGCCAGTGATTTGTGGCCTATAAGCACGCCTCAACGGCCAAGGTATGCCTAAAATCTCTCTTTGCTGCTGTGCTTATACTTCTAATTAGCAGTGAGTTTATCGGGTGATCGTGACAGCTTGGAGAAGAGTTTCATATCATGTACATCTCTTTACCCTATTTCCGTACTTGCTCTTTTCTCGATCTTATTCCGGCCTCGTTCATAGTGTTTTTCTTTTCGAGTATTCTGATTCACGGCACGAATTTCATTCGCGAGCTAGAGATATATAGCAAAATCTCCTTGCCCCAAAGGGATGTAGGGGTTAGAAAGGGTCCCTACGTGGAGTTGGATTCCATCGATAGTGATGAAAACTTTGCCCCTACGAGCCGAGGGGTGAGGATTAATTGGGTTATAAAAATCTCCCAGCTCAGCTTTCATGCTTTTCCTTTTCTTTTTCCTTTTTGTTAACTACTCCAATACGCGCATTGCTGCAAAAAATAGATTGTTTAAAATCTTTTTTGCTGATTTAAAAATTACGCTTTAATTATGTGTGACATACATTGAATCTCAAACACTCGGCCCTTTAATGTTAAGCAATGTTGCCATAGTCAGTAATACATTATCATCGGGAGAAGGACATTAAAAGTGTTAAAAGTTGTGTACGGCGCTCATTTTAATGTCAAAAGTTTCATCCGGAACACTTAAGGTGCAAATGAAAACCTACTTTTTGTTCCAGAACTGGTTCTGAACCAAAAATCAGAACAAAAAAAAAAGTAGATTTTCTGTTTTTGGACGAGAAATGAAAATCATTTCTAAAAGAACCCGTCTTCTCACTTCAAAACACATTTCTTCCTAAATTTAGCCTCGATCCAACCTAGATAGACCGATTCGAACCGGTTCGGTCCGGTTCATTCCCGGTGGAAAAATTAAAAAAATTCTTTAAAAAATCATGAAAAAATTAGAAGATTCAGAAAAATCAGAAAAAATTCATAAAATTCATAAAAAAAAATTAGAAAATCCGGAAAATTTCTAAAAATCTCAAAAAAAATTTAGAAAATCCATAAAAATTGAAAAATTCCAGAAAAATTCATAAAAATTTCCAGAAAATAAAAAAGTCAGATTTCGGGAAAATAGGAAATTTGGTGAATTTTTTCAATAAAAAATCAAAAAATCAAAATTTTCAAAAATTCACAGGATAGCTTAGAATACCTGTGGCCACCCACTTTGAGTGAAATTTAAATTTTTTGAGGTGCTCAAATGGTATTTTTGAAGACTCCTTAGTTTAGGGATTTAAAAGGGGTTTTAACTCCTAAAAAACCCTAAAAAGGGTTCTAAAAAAATGGATTTCTGTTCCGGGAAATAAAAATTTTATACTGTTATCAAACGGGTTTCTTTTCTCAAAAACTCGTCTTGGGAACAGAAATAGAAAAATCTATTTATGTTCAAGGAATTATTTCTGGAACAGAATGGTTATCATTCGCGCCCTTAAGTGCCAAATTTTTTTGAAAAACGCTCATTTCAGTGCCAACTCCGACCTGTTTAGCCGAAAATCCGACGTGGCCTTTTTTTTATTAGTTTCTTAAGCTAATGTGGCTCGCCGGAGAGTCCAGTCAGCATCCAAACCCTAAAACGACGCCATGTAGTACCTTTCCCCAAATAAGAACCCTAAATCCCCAAATTGAAAGAGAACCCCCACAATTTCAAACCCTAACCGGTCATTGAACCCAAATTCACTCCCTATTTCGATTTGCCCCCAAAATTACCAACTCAATCTTGCAATCTCTACTACCATCGTCCCCACGATGTTACCAAGAACCCTTTTCCCTCCCTTTGAGCCCTAATTTTTCCTTCGGAGCCCTTCGTTTGCCCTCGAAGCCCTAATTTTTCTAGCTAACTAAGCAAGGGAGAAAAGATGACAAACCTGAGTGAGAGCGACGGCGAGCAAGGGCAAGCGACAACAAGTGAACAAGGAGGAGTTCGCAGCATCGTGCAGGAACAGAAACTCGAAGCCCCAATTTTGATCCGCTTTGTGAAACATCATTTTGGCCAAAGGCAAAGTGATGTCGTTTCTTTTCAATGAGCCCCATAGGCCGGAAATCCGATGTCATTTTTGTACTCTATGTGGACTTGGTTTTTAAATTAAAAAGTCACGTAATCAATTTGGCCAGAATATCTCGCCGTTGGCACTTAACTATTCGTTTTTTATCCGATTTGACACTTAAGCGATCCGGCAGAAATTTTTGCACTAAAATGAGCGCCGTACATGACTTTTGGCACTTTTAGTGTCTTTCTACCCATTATTATCCTAAGCAATTAGCCCACAATGGGATCTCATAACAAGATCGATGATCTACATCGATTATAGATGTTAAAAGCATATATCTAATAATTAAGTTAGGTGGCAAAAAGGTAGCTCCATTTCCACCTTCTAAATCCACCCCCATTTTACGACCAAAAAAAATCCACCCCCATTTACACTAAAAATGCAGATGCGTCCTCAATTTTTCAATTGCAATTTAAAGTGATGGTCCCCCTTCTTCTTTTTCTATCTTTTTTCTTTTTCTATTTAGGATAATCACCGTAATTAAGCGTTTCATATATTTGTTTTTTAGCATATTAAAGAAAAGTGCATTCTCAGATATTCCTATAACATTTTACTTGCTCTGCATAAAATTATCTCACTAAGGAAAAAAGACATCCTTTGATATAGTATAAAATTGAAAAGTCTCTTCTTCACCATTGATAACTTATCTTCTTCTTTTTTTATGACCCGGGAACCGCCGTACAGCCGACAGCCGGTGACGTAAACCCGGGGTGACGCTAGCGCAGGATCCACCACCACGGCGCCACACTTAAGAATCCCTAACGACTAGGCTGGGATTCGAACTCCCCACCCTTCGTGAGGGGCAGAGAGCGCGAATCAACGCAGCCGCTGCGGGCGGTGGTGATAACTTATCTCTTTTTGTCCCTCTTATCTCAAAAGCTCACTTTCTTGGTGAACTTTTTATTAATTTCATTAGTCTAAAATATATATCAAGTCTCTTTATTTACTATATCAAAGAATGTATATTTCTTCCTTATTATATTGGTGAGATACTTTTATACAAAGCATGTAAGACGTTAGAGGAATACAGTAAAACAATATGCACAATAAGGTGACTTAATATTTTTTTTGTAAACAGTTCATTAATGATATTAATTTTTGTCAATTCAAAATAATGATATTTTTTTGGCATTTTCAAAAACAATGTCTTACTCTATGGAATGTTTTGATTTAATTAAATTTCATCAACTTAACATCATATTTATAAATTTGATCAACAATGTATAAAAGAACTAGATTTCTTGGAAATTTCTCTTTTCGACAAAACAAATTTTTATGGAACTAATATCTAGCAATAAAAAAACATAGTGCCTTTAATATACAAGGAAAATATACAATAAACAAGGGTATGCGCTATTTCCACCTCTTGACACCCTTTATCTCATTGATTTGGCTACATTATCCATTGTGGGTCCCACTATTGGTTTGAAATTATTTTTTCCCTTTTTTTCTTCATTTTCTTTTGTTTCAATTTATTAAAAAACAAAACTACCCACACCATTTCCATTGTTGTAATATGAGCAAGCACTAATCATGTATTAAGTAAAGAAATGTTGGTTTTATCTGTAAATTGTTTACTTTATTTATGTAGATTATTTTCATGATTGTGAATTTTTTGAATTCAATTTTTGATACAAATTTACGAGAATTTACTCTAAGATTGAATATTGTGGTTGATATATGCATTATACATAATTTACTCATCTTTCATTATATATATTGTAGTGCACTCACTATGGAAGACAATATTGAAAAGGACCTAAATTTCTACAATGTATGTATTTATAATGAAACTGCGAAAGGAGAAAGACAATCAATCATGTCATCAAGTTCAATAGAAATTTTACCTAGTAAGTTTCTAACATGAGAGGATCTTTTGAGTAGTGTGCGGAAGCATTTTTTGGCTCAAGGTTATGTTGTCTTGCACAAGGTTATGTTGTCTATATAAAAAGGTCAAAAAGAGCCAAATATGTTCTTCTTGATTGCGATAGTGGAGGTAATTATCATGATCAACGTAATATTTTTATTGCACGTTAGAGAAGAAAGACTGGATCTCGTTTGATTGATTGTCCTTTTGAAGTTCGTTGTTATAAAAAGAAGAACGGATCATGGCCACTCAAAATATTGAATGCATCATACAATCATGATAATTCGAGTGATATGTTCGAACATCCTCCTTGTCATTGCTTTTCTGAAGTTGAAGCTTCGCGTGTGAAGGAGATGTCTAAAGCCGACATACCCCCTCTCCAAATTTTTTCTTCCTTGAGACAAAGTAATCCCAAAGTTCAAGCTATTGCTAAAAATGTTTACAACATGAAAGCAAAATTCTGTCATGAATATCTGAATGGTCTCAATATGCTCCAAGCTTTATTGGAGGATCTTAGTGTAGGTGCATTCATTTATAATTTTAAACATGATGCTAAGGGTTACCTGACGCATTTATTTTTCTCTCATCCTATCTCTATGGTACTAAGGAAGAGCTTCTTAGGTGTCTTTGTAATGGATTGTACTTAAAACACTAATTAATACAAAATGCCTTTGTTGGATATT